GGAATGTGAGGAATTGCAAGAAACAATCGCATCATTAAGACACCAGCTCAGCAGTGCAGTTGAACAGAGAAGTTCTGTTCCATTGACCAGTGATTTGCAAGGATTTAAAAACCTGCAGATTGAATCTCAAGTTGGAAAAGAAAGTTCGTCACAGGAGGACATAAATGAAATGAGGATTCGCCAAGATCAGGTTTCTAGCTGATTTTCATTTTCCTAATACTTTAGCTATGAGAAAAAAAAATGTATGATGAGCAGATCATTAATCATACAAGGTTTTTGTGTGCGTGTGCATGTATGTGTGTGAGAAGAGAGGCTTGCTTTCTTGATTTCACATTTCCAGACATTTCGTACTTCAAAAAAAGAAAAAAGAAAAAACCTGAGAAATTCAATTAGTGAACACCTACTAAATTTTCATATTCCAAGCCATCTTATACCTTCAGAACTTTTAGGCAAATGAGATTGAAGAACTAAGGACAAAACTAGCTGAAGTAACCGAGTCAAAGGAGGAGCTGGAGGTACGCAACAAGAAACTAGCGGAGGAGAGCTCGTATGCAAAGGGATTGGCATCGGCTGCAGCAGTCGAGCTGAAGGCCCTCTCTGAAGAAGTCGCAAAACTGATGAACCAGAACGAGAGATTATCCGCCGAGCTCGAAGCTTCAAAAAAGCCGCCAGCTCAGCGACGAGCCTCCATTCCCACCAGGAACGGAAGGAAAGACAGTTATAGCTCCAAGAAACACGAGACGGGTGGTTTAGTCTCGGATATCAAGAAAGAATTGGCAATGAGTCGTGAAAGAGAGCATTCGTACGAAGCTGCACTTGCTGAGAAGGAACAGACTGAAGCTGAGTTGCAGAGGAAAGTCGAAGAATCGAAACAGAGAGAGGCTTACCTTGAGAATGAACTGGCAAACATGTGGATTCTTGTGGCTAAGCTTAAAAAGTCCCAGGGAGTTGAAAATGATGAGTTAACAAGAGAAAATATGAAGAGTGATGAATTTTGAGATTCGGATGAGGGGATTTCGGTTATTAACTTTGTGTGACTGGTTTTAGGAGAGAGGGTTTTCCTGTTGTGTATTTATTGGTAGTGGCTTTGTTTTTTTTTTTTGCTAATTTCTTAGTTCCGTATGCTGAGAGGTGGTATATATATGAGTAGCAATAGCTGTTTCTTTGGCCTTGGTACTGTGTGACGTGTGTTTGTTTGTGAAGATGCTTTGGATTTTAAGTGGGTTTGCCCGCGCACTCTAGTTTTTGTGGTGATGAACGATGTTATGTACATGATGGCTATTGGGAGTTTGAACGTACTAAAATTTGTATATACAACATGAATATTGTTTTGATAATGCAATTTTTATTGAAGAATTTGCACCCCTTTCTCTTCAATTTTAATTTTATAACATTTTTAAAGGTGGTTTAGTTTTATTTATAAAACTACTATTTAAGACCTAAAATATTACAAATATACCACTAGGTTCAGTTAAGGAATTATGGGACAAATTAAGTGTGATTATATCATTAATTATGAATAATATATATCCTTTCCAAAACCGCAGCCCACTTTCTCTCTACAAAAAAAAGGTACCCCACCTCTCTCTCTACAGAAAAATCGATTGTTTTGCTCCGTCACCGCGAATTCCGCCACCCCCACCACCTTCGCATTGTTCTGGTCCTTGATCGGCTGACACCCGCGGTCGTCATCTCTAGGTAGGCGATCCAAGAATCGTTCTCCATGGAGTCGACGAGGGAGATTTCCTCAATTACCGCCGGCGCCGGCGTCCTCTAAAGAGGGAGACGTGTAGCATACAGGTCCTAATGGAGGTTCTTAAATGAGTTTTTTTATTAATGGTGAAAGTTATCTCTATAAAACACTATTTATTTTATCATTTTGTGAAAACGTGTTGGTTATTTATAATTTGTGGATATTTGATTTGGGATTTAGTTTGATTGATGATGGGAAGAATCCTGATGAATAATTTTCTGGGATATGTTGAACGTTTATATTGCAAAGAATCAGATTACAAAAGGGAAGACAGGTACCTTCCAGGTTTGTTTTTTTCCATTTGAGAGCCCACATCTATATGTTCGCAATTTTGTTTCATTCATACTTCATTTGTTTTTTCTACATATACTATGTGTGAAAACAAACTGCATATACATGAACTAAAGACTTAATTCTGAGTCTTACCTGTCTAGTTTATTTCAGTGTATATAGGCATTCGAATGGATGTCGACGTGGTTGTTGTTGACGTTGTAGAACTCGAAGTCCTGAACGGTGTCTAACTCGACGGCAAACACGTGGTTGGAGGCGTTGCCGACGGTGGTGGAGTTGAAGAGACCGAGGTACAAGAAAGTTGAATTTTGCTTCGATTTTTTTAGGGTTTTGGACGGTGTATAGATCACTCGGGATGTTGGAATTCGTAGACTTTGAATTGGAGTATATGTACAGTATATGGAGTATATGTACAGTATATGATTCGCATTCTCCCGAGCTATCCCGCGGCCACCACGACATCCTGACCGATAATGAGCATAAAATATACTGGTCGGAATCTTGGTCGGCCGCTGTTGGTGGTGGAGTTTTCGAGTAGTCGACATGCGGATAGTTTCGATTGGATCTGTTTTCAATGTTTATTTGATGTACATTTACAATTTATTTGATGTTTATTTACAGTTTATTTGATATATATTCACTTTATGTTGTTTTTTCAATATTTATATTAATGTTTTTTGTTTTATTTTTATTTTGTAGATCTGTTCGTGTGTTGTTCAACAGTTGGTACAAGTTATGTAAATAAAAACGCAACATATACTGAAAATATACTAGCTGATTTTTGTTGTTTAAGAGCTGCATGCTAAATCAGACATTTTGACTCGGTAAAAGTTATGCAAATAAAAACGCAACATATACCGAAAAAACGTTATGTAAAATAAAATATACGTGACGTACATAACCTTAATATGTCTTTATATTTTATGGATAAATATACTGAAAATATAATGATTATAACCGCAACATATACTGAAAATATATTGATTATAAACGCAACAAAATATTCAATGAACAGTAAATAAATAAATAAATAAAAATCAANTTTAGCATACAAACCTGATTAACAAAAAAGAAGGAGAGAAAGTTTGATTGATATGAAAACAAAATTAGACATTAAATCACCTACAAAAAAGGAAGAGAGAAAGTTAGATTGATATGGTAACTAAATTAGACATTAATGTAGTTAATTTTATCTTTTAGGTAAATATACAATTAATTTGACGAATGTGGTATTGTTGCAATATTCTCCTTATCTTGTAGGAGAGATAAAAATTTCCCTTTTTTATTGGTACCATATCCATCGACACCATAATTTGAAGAAGCTTGTTGGATTTATTTTTAAAAATTATTTCCCCATTCAGAAAGGTCGTAAGTTAGTGATTGGTATCCAAAAGACCAAAAGTACTACTACAAAATTTGACGATATTAAACGTGGGGAACATATACACTGTGCATTTAAAGCAAACCACTTACATAAATGTCATGTTGTTAGCTCAAATGATGTTTAGCATTTGTAATCATGTTGACTTGTGTCCTAAATATGTGCTTATTAATTTATTTTGGTTTTCTCTCTCAATTGTATCATTTTAAGGTTATATATATAATCTAATGGTAGTTGGTTGATCATAGATTTTCACGCCAACGATTTATTGGTTAGGTCACGGTGAACCTGAAGATGGTTGGTAATGTAATTGAATTAAGTACAGTCGATGGTTGGTAATGAATTTAAAATAAATATAGTCGATGTAGGCTAGTAGCTTAAAGTCAAAAAACAAAAAGAATAAAAAAAATAAATAAACAACCACAAATAATAAAAGAGAAAACGTTTAGTTGCCATAGTGGATCCACATATATCTGTGATTTGATTCCCAATAAATTGTTGAGTGCTTATGTAGAGGCATACATAAGTTTCTTGCATGTTTTTTACAAGTTTGGACATGCAAAATTGGGGATTGAAATGTGGCGAAAAACTTGCCACATTACAATTTTCAGTTTTCACTTTATATATATATCAAATTCAAAAGTTAGAAAAACTTTATTGAAGTTTTGCATTAACTGTAAGATGCATGAAAGCAACCTACAGTTGGCCAAAACCATCATAATTTCATAAAAACCCTAAAATCGCACAACAAAAATTACAGACATCTCATTCCATCAGCAAAATCAAATTCCTGAGAAAAAACTTTAAGATAACAAGGTCACATTTCTTGAGTTTATCTCCAACACAAACTACAAATATTGACATTAAAATAAGAAGCACACTTAATATTAATTAATCCTCCATTACATGCTAGTTAGAACTTAGAACCACCTAAAAACTTCAACAACAATGTCTATTACAGCTTGAGAGTCAAATCCACCTTCTTCTCCAAATCCAATCCAAACCCATCGACACCAATTTCCACGCGCGCACCGACACAGTCGACAAGCCTGAGCTCCTTTGGCACCACCACACTCGGGCTTTCGTCCTCTGTTTTCATAGGCTGGCAAAAATAGTTTTTATTATTAGGAACTATAGAGAGAGGCTTTGTTGGGCCGCCGGTCGAGTGGGCTTCCTTCATGGCCTTGATGTAGGCCCGTTTGCGGTAGGCAATCGGGTCCCTTATGTAGAGGCGCCTTTCTTCCAAGCGCTCGCGCTTGTGGGCATTTTGGTGGCCGCCCATCGCCTGAGCCGAGGGGAACTTCTTGAAGCAAAAGGAGCAAGTGAATTCCCATGACTCCACAATTCTTGTCAGCTTTGTCATCTCTTTTCTTTCGGCAAACAGGCTAAGCTTTTCGTTCGTGTCCTGGATCTCTCGAAAGTCGCCAACTTTACGTTTTCTTGCCATGCGAACGGATTTTCTTTCTTCTTTTTTTTTTTTTTGGGTTCTTTTTTTGTAATGAAGTGTTTTTCGATGAAATTGAAGAAGTTGTGGTGGTGTGTCACCAAGAGAAAGAACAAAAGAGAAGAGAATACAAAATGAGGTGGTTGAGAAATGAGAAGAAGGCAGAGTGAAGGGTTATTTTTTATAGCCGAAAAAAAGGAAGAAAATCGAAGTTTTCTTAATAGCAAATGCCGCCATGACGAAATCCGGTTCGCCATTACAGTAATGTGTTTTATGGGGAAATCTTGTTTTTTATTTCCCCTTCATTTATTCGATACATTACCTTTTGATTTCTTTCCCGAGAAGAAAAAGGAGCGAAAATCGCTTTTGGCGGATTATGGAAATTTCTCTTCAATGAATGGAGACGAGGTTTAAATTTTGCGAAAATCTGCATGCAGGTGATGATTTTGTAAATCTGCCGGATGAACAACACGTGGATAAATATCGTCCGTCGATTGTTTTATGGTAGGTGATCGAGTGGCCTTGTCAGCAGAACATGAAGATTGGAATAATCTGGGATCTGTACGTTGGTGAGTGTTCTAAAAGCTATAAAGCTTTTGCAAAATTATGGAGTGAGTCCAAATTGTGGATAGATTAGAGTTGCAGTCACTGCCCACTTTCAGTTATGTCAAATGTTCATTTCTGGGCAATGGCAAAATTGGTTAGATCATATTAAATGTTTGGGGTTCTTTCAGGATCTGCTTTTAGGGATCAAGTTAATCACATTTTGCAAACAAGATGAAGTTTAAATTTGTTTTATCAACTGCCATTTTAAGTTTTTGTGGGCACGGATTAATATGTTCACGTCACAAGGTTAGCATACCATACACATGATGCACATCTTAATGTGTCCATTGTCAGTAGATGAACATTTTTGTAGTTTTCGATTAGATGAATCTTTCATGATTTTAAAGTTTGGACAGAAAGTTATATTCTGAAATCTTATATAGATTTGGAGCTCTTTTTCCGAATTCAGTGAATAATAGTCTTAACCAATATTTGTTAGATTTTCTTAGCCTGATATAATGACTACAGCACATACTATTTCGATCACAAAATTTCTTCTCCTAACTATTTGATATACAGATTAACATCTAAAATGCAATATAAAATCTGGTAAATCAGTTGGTCTAACGGGCCAATTTGGTTAGGCTTTTCAATTTTGCATCTTTTTAAAACGTAAATTTTTGCTATGAAACGTCATAAATTTTAGCTATGAAAATGTTAAATAATTATTTTGGTTGCCTTTAAAGTTTTATATTGTATTGTCAAACTATGTACTTTTCTTGAATTCGTTCCCTTATTTCTTTATACCGCCTCATGAAAATTGAAATAGTAGAAAATGTATGGTTCAATATAAGCAGAAACCAGGGCAAAAGGATTTCACATATTTTTCAAACTTGTGTTGAAAAACAAACGTTGACCAAGAAAATCGAGCCTAAAAATGCACAATTTCAGAACTTGAGTCACCATTTCTTGTTTTCACGTATATCAAGTAACGTCATTTGATTCGCATTGGAAAATTCACTATATACTCTTATATCTTCTGTTATATTTTTATTCGCACTGCTATCAACATCGACTTACTCTTAAATTGGTGAAAAAATGTCATGAAAAAACAAGTATTAAATCAAACCTTGAAGGCTTCAACTCTCAGATGAGACTAGTACTTTACGCAAAAATGTGAAATATTAAAATTTCTAATTCAAATATTGCCCATACTAATTCATGTGTTGTGCTCTGTTCCTAATGTATCAACATATATGTTGTGCTCCACTGCCAATTAACTGAGCACGATATGCTCAACACAAAGCAAGCAGTACACAAAAGCAAAAATAAGCACAAAGCAGACAGTCAAAATGATGAGCAATACTTTTCTATATACAGATAATTACCTTTTTCTTTTGAGAAAAAGGAATACACCACTCATCATATTTCATGTCTACTCCAATCCAATTATGAGTTTGCTCGAAATAGTATAATCATCTAATGCCATATTTTCACATTTGGTAATCGTCTACTAACTACAAAGTCTAACATTCTAAACATGAATTTCAAAATATTCTGATTAAGAGGATGGTGGGTACACGAATCTCAGTTTTTCATCTGAAACACCTCTGTTTCATGGTATATACTTCTTACTTACAAGTTGATACTAGCTACATCTAAAACTATGATATTTACAGGTGATATAATAATTAAAGGACCAAGAAGCAATAAACAGCACTGCCAACTCCAACCTTCGTTAACTTTAAGAACCCCAGTCCCTTCAAATATCAATAGAGTATCTGCAGTAACAAAACCGAGGAAATCCCCATATCTGAACCTCAAAATGGGCCTCTTAAAATTTCAACAAGGAATTGGCCCCTAAGTGAAAATGAAAGACAACTCAATCAATAACAAAACTGAAGTGCACTGAATCATAAGTTGATGCACAATTACAGCAATTGGGTTGCGGGGCTTAAAAACTCAAAATTGCGTAGCGACCAAGGTGTTACTACATACAATCTGTTTTATAAGAAGCTTCATAACAACTCTGTTTACACTTTACAGTAGAAGTCTTGAAAAGGCCAGCTATCATAGAAACGTCGATAACAGTCGGATAATTTATGAGCTAAGAAAGCAATTAAATTTAGACCTAGAAGCAAATCTCATAAATGAAAATTGTGCTCAACAAAATTTCTACTTCATACAATCAACACTCCATAAAAGTTGAACTAAATTTGACTCATAACTTACAGCTTAAGCCCTGCTCATGGGGGTAACAAGCTGCATAGTGATTGTAATTCAAGGAAAACAGTAAAGATACTCTTTTTTGTATCGTTTTCAGCTTATAATATAGCATCAAGCATAGAAAAGTAACAAACTTGAACAAGTAATCAATCAATTGTCCAGAAAATTCAAGGAGCAGGTATCTTGAAAGGAAGCTTTAGTAAACAAAATTCATTGAGTAAAAATTACAGCTTATTAATATCCCAACAACTAAAAGGGAGTAAAAGTAAACATTGTCCCAAGCATTGTGCCATGAATGAACTCAAAATATGGAAGAAGCAAAGCAAAACACGAAAGAAAAAACTACCGATACCGAAAACCAGCTGAATCAACACCACTTTCATCCTCAGCTGGACTTGGGATCAGGCATGGGGAAAAATCCAGCGCCCGCAGCTCCACGGGGAGGTGAAAACCCCAAAAACTTCTGCAAATTGGTCCTAATACTAATCGAACACAGCAGGTACAAAAACGCCATCGAGCAATCCGTCATGTCGTCCCCAGACAATCCCCTGTGGCTCATCTTCTGCACCAATCGTATCGGGACGAACGGAATCTTCGCGATGACTTTCCCCTCGAACAAGCTGTTGAGCAGCCCGAACACCATGAAGAGAACCAGGGCGACGACGGCGCCGGATTTGAATTTGAACATCGAGAGGTCGCGACTGGACTCCTTCAGCGAGGTCTCTACGCGGTCCATCTTCTTATTCTTGGACGATTTCTTGAGAAGGGCAGCGGTGGTGGGATTCGCGTCGGTCGTCTTCATCGTCTCGAGCTTTTTGGAGGCCTTGTCGATGGTGGACTTGAGGGATTTGTAGGAGGCGGTGCGGTAGATGAGCAGCCACGAGATGGCTTCGCACACGACGGCGGTGCATAGGGAGATTCCGACGACGGTGAGGCTGTCGGAGTATTTGAAGCCGGACAGTAGGGCTGACGCCATCGGGAGTTTGGGTGCTTGTGGGGATCTGACTTTAGATTCCGATGGGTAGTTGAGAGTGACGATGATTATCAATCAGCCGATGTGAATGCGGATTTATAGTTTTATTTATTTATTTATATTGGACTAGTTGTTAATCAAACTAGTTGGGCTTAATGATGTGTGCCTACCCAATTTCGTAGCCCAATAATTGCAGAAAGTAATTGGGCTTAGTTTCTACGGTCACTACAGCACAAAATGATCACTTACCCAACTCCGTATGCATATTAATTTTTTAAGAGAAAATTAATTATTCAACCTATAAATTTCCTTTTGTTCATGACTCATTTATAATGGTTCATATATCGTTTCATTTTTAATTGTTGTATTTAAAAAAAAAAATCAAACAATGTAATAAACTTGTATAAAATGTCATCTTTTTTAATCCCATATCCACATTAATTAATTGACATATTAACTTGTGTCCCCTTTACAATAAATCGTACAATATCAATAAAAAAAGTAAAATGAAATGATGTGGGACGATTATGTTCTAACAAAAGGTGAAATCAACAAATAAAAGTATCAAACACTAGGAAAAGTATATCCACAATTTCATGACTAATATGGCACCAAAATTATTCAGAAATTAGTGCAGATGCACATTTTATTGAGTCTACAATATAATTTAATTATATGAGATATTAGGTCCATCTAGAATAGGATAAAAATTAATAACCATATTTTCACTCTATTAGGTCCATCTAGTAAATGACAACATTTCAACGTCACAATGTTAGAAATGAATGACAACATAATTTCCACAGTATTGTTATTGCCTTGAATGTGTGAGGAAAAGTTGGAATATTCAAGCATTCACGAANACAAACATATTATTTTACTAATATATCAAAAAGTAAGTATATTGATAACATTGGATTTTTCTTCTAATATATTATTTTGTAAACACTATTGCTTGAAAAGGGGCCAAAGTTCATCCGATAAACCTTCTTTGAGGTTCAAATAATCTAAATCTAATTTTGAACTTTAATATATAAATCTAATTTTCAATATTATAGCATAATTCATTATTTTATCAGTATAATCTAAACCATCTTTGTTTTTGCGTAAATTATTGACTTTTAGTTTTTGGTCAAATCTATTACCACCTTAATCTGCCTCAGCTTTTCGATGGACCAAACTAACCTTGCCTTTGCAAGCTCATAACATCTTACCTATCTATGTATCTTAATCCTCATAATTTTGTTACAATATTAAT